AAACACAGTCAAAACTGTTTTGACACGAGTCTTGTATATAACAAACTATGTAACTTTTCTGAAGAAATGACCTCCTTTTTGTTCCCGCGACCCATTCGAACAAACTCCATGCATTTATAATTTTCGTTGCTGAGTTCGCATTGGCGATGAAACCATCTGGTTGGCGTCTCGTTTGCGTCCAGACGACCTGTACAACGGAACTCCACCACCACCACGGAACCACCAGCATTCGCCTCCTGTTTCATGGTCGTTAGTAGTGAACTGCTCTGACATGGGTTCACGTATCAACTTTGTTCAGAATGTGCCTCAAAGGTTTTGCTACTGCGCAGTTCAACTAACTCACTTTTTTGTGGTGTACGCCTTAGCAGTGCCGTTGGCTTCGGTTGAGACGCAGAAAGAACGCGCCTTTGAGATACCAGTCGCTTTTCCAATCCAAGCGGCATCCCGTTGTGCATGTCAGAACAGAACAACCCAGAGGTCGCATGCTGTTGTTTCTAAAGCTATGTCCAAATGAGGCACGAGCGTGTAAACTAAAATCCTCCATGACTCTGGATCGTTTCGCGAAGCCACTTCATCTAAACGTAACAAAATAACCTCAAGTTAGCGCTTAGCTGATTCACAGGGATGCGTGTCATAGCTAAAATGAGCTCAGGATAGCACAGTGGTTAGCGTGGTGAACTTACCGACCGGAAGTTCTGTGGTTAGAACCAAACGGCATTTTGACCGCCGTTTGCGTTCCTCGGGTGGCAAGGAACCGAAGAGGTTTTGCGGCTGAACGATAAAGTTTTATCATTTTACAAAGCTATTTTATTCATAATGACCACGGTGATGCTGTGGTAACAAAATAATCTCAATTTCATGCTTAACAGTTTCATTGAAATGCGAACCATGTTTTAAATGCAACGTTTGCCGAATAGATGTACCCGATTTTGTGTGCGTCCATACTAGGTTTTTTTTACCGACAGATGGCAAAAGATATACAATCGCCAGACTAAACACGTTTTTATTAGTTTGGGAACTCCAATCAGCTGGCTGTGAAAAGCCGCAGCGTGTTATTGTTCTTTTGTTTAGCTCTTTTCATTCCGATGACGATTGCGCCGCTTCGCTATCTTTGATACGTTTGTGGCGCTCGTCTAAATCCAATCTACAGTGCTGTTATTGAAAACAGGCTAGTGAGCTATCACTGTTAAATACGGGTGTTATTAGCAGTGATGTTGAAAAAGCTACCTTGTGAGACTATCCGCAGCATAATTTCCCTTGATGCGGTGGTCAAACAGTCGATTTGGAGCAGGCACTGCCTTACCGTCCCTCCCCCAAATTCCGCTTTACTATCTACTTGTCACAACACCCCGCCTTCATTTCTGGGTGCCACCGCTTCTCAGAGTTACGGAAACTGCACCTTGAGGAGCCCGTTAAAGACCACTAGTCCACGCTGGTATCTGCCGCAAGAAAACTAGAAATTTATGCACTATTGTCATCATTTTCCTGGAGGGTTTCCTTCGTGAAAAATCGCATTTGGAAGGTATTTGTTCATGGGTTTTAGAGGATTACTTCTTTTCGGATAATTTCAAGGTGCCATCTGTAGGTCGTTTCATACATACATGCATCTGTAGCGCTTTGCATGTGGGATGACGCATCCTAGGCTAGACAATCATGACACCTGTTTGGTCATTTCATTACTAAGTTCGTGAAACCGGGCTTAGAAAATCTCGACTCATCCATGCACCTCAGTTTTCTGTGTGGTGCACAGTGTTTCGGTCATTTTAGTCATTTGCTGTTCTACACCTACACGTTTTCTCTATTACCGTCGATCGTGACTTCGACTACCTAAGGCCGCCACGAATGTATTCTCGACAAACAAGACCTCTCGTAAAGAAACTCTAAGCTAAATACATTTCACTGGATACTATTTACTGAGTTAGGTAGTTGTGGTAAATGTGCCACTCACTCAATGACAGTGTCATTCCGAACTTATTGCAGAGTTCTGTCATTCACTTTGCAATTCTTCCGTCTTCTCATACAAATTCCTTACGTCCACGTCATTCCTGTGGCTAGAAACTCTCCTATCCTATTCTTGAAGTACATAGTTCATGTTTCTGTTGTTCCCCACCTGGGTCTACTGATTACCTTCTACAGAGCTAGTCGCATTTTGCGTTTTTTCCCACATGGTCAGTCGTAGCTTTTCCTTTAAGAGGCCGCGCTGAGCAGGCGTTGGTAACCACGTAGTTCCAATGTCGGGTTTATGAATGTCTAAATCATTTTTCACAGCTCAGGATACTCTTTTTCGCTCGGCGACCATCGGTACGACACGTCACCTCACCTTGTTGTTGTGTGACCGTTTTTACACCCGTGCGACTAATCGGTGATATCATTGTAACTGAAGAAGAGGACGCATAGCACAATTCACTAATCCCTGATTTTAAACAGCCCATTACCACGTGGTCTGATATACATTAGTTTCGCTCGTTCAGGAGGCATTTCAATCGGTTTTTCAGCGCGTTTGCTGATGTCTCCGTTGAACCACGTGACGGACGTTTCACGTCGTCACTACTAAAGGGTATCCATCACTAGGTGAGCTGCATGACGCAGACATGATTTTCGTAGCGGGCCCGATGACCCTTCTGGCGGATTATTGTTCAGGCCACCACAGACGTCTGCACTTTAATGGCATCATTTAAGATAGTCATCTGACGAACCCGTCTGGTATTCGGAGAGATCTGGGGAACAGTTTAATACGAATTTCGATCTCCGACGCCTAACCGATCGGCCTTAACCCCTCAATATTGGTCAATACACGGGACACCATCGAACCTCCAAACAACTGAAGCCCATGTTAGACTCTGCTACGTTCCCTTGAAATCTGAGCCGTGGTGAAAGTACAGTACATCGTTGGACTGTGTTCGCGTTAAGAAGCACAGAATTGTACTCGTTTCCGAAAAGCACATGCTTTCCTGAAGCAGTGCACATTTCTATCTGTCGGTTTTGTTCTTTCCAGGTTTTCGTCGCAGACAACCAGACAGGGAAAGAGGTCACACGGATTGACAGACTGCGGTTCTTCGGCACTTGTGTGAATACGACAAATATGCAAAATTTCAAACGGGTGAGTTTCAAAACGGTTATGATTACGTTTACCGTTCGAGGTTTAGGCGACCATGTGAAAGCCATCTGACAGGAAGGTCGATACGGCGTCGACGACTTCCGTGACAGTTGTACAGACGTACCTACTGCATTTTATGTGATGGAGCAACGCACAATTTGCCTAGTTTTCATTGTGTATTACGTTTCGCAGCCCAATGACCACCAAGGTCAACTCCATCATAGTTCATAAAATTGAACTGAAAAGAGAAAAGCTAAGTTTCATCACAAGCCCTTCGTCGTAACCGTTTCATCAATCATGCGGAAAAGTCCAGCTTTCTTTGCGTTTAGCGAATATAACACGACGCGTTTAGGATGGTTACACTTTGCTGACTGAAAAGTTCGCCACGCACGTGTCCACGACTTTCTCCAGCTATACATAAGCCCCCAAGCTTTCCCATTTGCATGACAGCTGCAAGGATTCCACCTGGACTCCCTCATTGTTCGGCTGCATCACAGCCGTACAACCAAAATTTCACAGTCACACAGGGTCAAACACTAGATGAGTTTTTCCAGACTTTCCTGCTCAGTTGTGACTATAGCTGGTAGTTACGAGCAACGCGAGTGCAGGCGTGCTTGTTTCCATCGGCGGCATTCGTCCACTATGTTTGCTTATTCTTCGTGGCCTGCTTCCCCCTTAGAATCTTCGGGTTTTGAGCTTGTAGCTGCATACTAACGCCTGGCATGATTGGTTAGTATATGGTTGCCGAACTGAGCCAACTTATGGTTGATGGAACGGTATTGCAGTGTCTTTTTCCTTCCCAGTGACGATGGAATTACTTTTGCACAGCAATCTGAGTATTTTTTTTACATCGCCAGTTGTCACAGATCACTGTTCTCTTACTGATTTTATTCAAAATCACTGTTTCCTCCGGTCAATCAGTAGTTTCTGGAATCTATGCGCTTGAAGAACTCTAAATAAGGGCTTCCGTGTTCCACTAAAACTTTTATTCGTGGGCTCCTTTGTCATGGTGTTTGTTTGTTTCCCTCTCCCAGGTTGCTGGAAAAGCCGGGGAAGGACACTCTTAAACCATCATTTCCGCTTCGCCCATGTCCACCGTTTGCTGTCTCATTTTGTTCGACAAAAGAATATGGTTACGTTGTTCTTTTTGTGTTTCCTCACCAGAGCTTGGTCATCGGGTCTGACCTCTCGTCCGAATAATTGTAGACCAATGTCTCACCGCGTATGAAGGCTTACCCTTTGCTGACACGCCACCTTGAAAATACGAACTCCTTAGTTTCAGTCAAGTAAAAAGCAGCTACGCACTGCGGGCGAAAGCGTACATCGGTACCTTTAACCGCTTAAATGCCCACTTTGGAGATCTGCAAATGAGGCCGAATTCGCTGGTAAAGAACTTTTGGAGCCTTTTCTCTGTGATCATGTCTACGAGACAAACGTTTCTTTGGCCTACGAAATACATGACCCAACCGGCACAACTCACACTAAGCCGTTTGTCGCCAGGGAGTCACTTTCCAAGATTCGTCGATGTATCTCAAGCATTGCTGGTGTGGTCAATGCATACATATCCCTAAGTCGAAAGACTTCGTTGGTTTGCTATTCACGGTGCGAATTTATAGACGCTTCGGGGAAACAGGCTGGTAGTTTGTTGGCGTGATAGATACCTGAATTTAACAAATGCCACCGTTACACATTCGGGAAGTAGTCTCGTCACCCTCTATACTTACGCAACGTAGCCAAATTTCGGGTTGACCAATCGGTTGAACCACAGACAGACGATTCCAGCTCAACAGCATGCTGTCGGAGTAGCGTTTAGGTATGACTAATCGCCTTTTTTTTACCACAAACTAAACTTCCATACGGGGAAGCATGTTCCCGTCAGTCGCCTGAAACATGCAGTTGCATAGCCAAAGTCAACGCTGTTTTAGAGAATGAATGCACGTGTTAAACAGACATTTGAGATAGAAGAAAGTCAAAGTACGTGTTCGAATGTTTCGCAACCGATGGACAATAATGGGCTTTGGACTGGTACGGATCTGAAGTCATAAACTGATTGAAGGCAAGCAAAGAAGAGAAAAGTCGCCAGTAGAAGGGACTGTGCGCTTTGGTGGAAGGTCGGTTTGAACGACGATTAGTTATTCGTATAGATAGATCAACTGAAAAAGAGCAGACGAAAAACAATGTAATCGGCGATGCGGCTGTGTTATGGCATTATCTGGATTGTGTGAATTATGTTCGTAGGTACCAGAGATACATAACTATCAAGGCTCCTAAATGGACTACTTTAGTCAACAACCTGACCGAAAATAGGGCTGCCTAACGGCGAAACACCATGACAGCTTTTGAAGGAACATGCTTTCACGGATGTCACAACACCCAAGTAGGGGACAAGGACGGGCTTAGGCCACAAATACTACAGTATGGAGGGCCCATCAACTCCCTCCGTGTAGCTCAATGAATTTGGAGATGACGTCCTGTTGGGGATATCAATATCCCCGAAAACTGTATTTTTATGTATGCTAGCGAACTTACGGCATCTTTCAAGGTGAAACTATGAATATATATAGGCAGTCATTTTTTCCCCAAGATCGCCTGTTGTTGGATCATTAAAGTTTGTGTCCGAGGTTTTTCGTCTTCTTACTATCCGCCGTGCTAGGAGTCTGGATCGAGCAACATAAGTGGGGATAGAATATTGTCACAGTCCGCATATCTTATTGTTTGCTCGCAGCGTGATGGAACCGTAACGTCCGCAATAAGGTCCAGTTCAATTGTACGGTACCATATAGGAAAAAGACAGTAGTATCTGCAGGCGCTCTAAACCTACGAGGTGTTGTCAAAGTGGTTGCAGTTTTCTGCGTTCGCACAAGGGCGTCTGACGCGATATTGCTTCGTCAAAAATTATCCAGGTTTTGGCCTACTGATGAGTAGCTGGACATGTGCGCAAATGTCCGGCAATGTGGCGGAAGTGATAAGAACGTCTGGTGTGAGACTCACTATTAGCAGGGAATTCAACGTGACCAATGTCATTTGTGCTGGAATAGGTCGCTCATACTAATGACTTATCAGCAGGCTGTCACTCTTAACTGGAGGCCAACGAGTGAGTTGTTGTACGAGAAACAAAACTATACTTCCAGAGCGCTAGGGCATAGTGAAACCTAACTGATGAAATTGAGCTCACAGACGAACGGTTTCTAAAGGGCCTAATCTAGCCGCATTGTGTAGTTTATTCATGTCCTTTCTAGCCGCTTTGGCACGAGAAGCATTTAATGGTGGTGGGCACGTACGAGTGTACGGGAATCTCTCACCTGAATCCACCATGTCCAGTGGTGTAAGACAAGGCTGTCCTCTTTCCTCTTTAACTTTGTTATTTACATGCTACTTGAAATTCCTCTGCCTGCCCATAAAACCTCAGGAGTCGAAATGCTCCCGGGACGTTCCCCAACAGACATTGAGTATGCAGACGATATTACTCTCCTTGGTTCAGACCCTCCCCAAATGCAAACGATTTTAAATAACCGAAATGATTCAGCCGCACAGTTTGGCATGCGCTTCACACCTGCAAAGTGTAAATTGCTGATAGAAGACTGATTGGGATCAAATCCACACCTCCTGCTTGCAGGTGGGCCAATCGATTTGGTAGATAAATTTGTTTATCTGGGCAGTTGTGTAAGTCCCGGTGGACTGGCTAGAGATGAGATTTCTCGAATCGGAAGGGCCAGGACAGCTTTTGTCAACCTCCGACACCTGTGGCGCCGACGTGACGTGAATTTGTTTGTCAAGGGAAGAGTTTACACCGCAGTGATGCTTTGTGGATCAGAGACGTGGCCACTATGTGCAGAAAGCATACGGAATATGTCAGTGTTTGACTCCGCAACATTGGTCAGGTCTGGTAAGATCAGTGATGCTGAGATATGCCAGATGGTTGTAGGAAGAAGGAACTCTCCCGCGATGGATGAATTACTCGCTTCATAGGTTGCGCTGGTTGGGACGTGTACTCCGCATGCCAGAAGACTGCTTTACAGAGCTCCTTTCTCCTGAACCTGTGCTGAGTGGACGTGACCGAGAGGCGGACAGTGCATGACCTGGCAACGAAGTACGAAAACACTAATCAGTAAACTAAGTTGGGTGGGCAACTGCCGCCTTCCTGGATGGGGATCCCGGGACTCAAATCACCAGTGGTTATTGACATTGGAGGAGATCGCGCAGTCAGTGGCGCTCTTGCATCAAACTATCGCCTTCAATGCGTAGCTACCCAATTTCCGAACTGTACATGCATTCGCCTCCAAGGCTTAGTTGTGTTCCACTTTCCCGTTCTCCGGTGGTCGAAACTGTAGCAGATGAAACCAATGTGCCTATGACACACGGTTTATAGCTGATAAATTGAATTGAGAAGCTGTTGGCCCTGTGTGGTCATAAACCAAGTAAAGCACGCACTAAAAGAAAACAGGGCAATGATCGTTCAGCCGTGACACTTTCTCAGTGAAGTCTCCATCCCACATATGACTGAATGATAAGGCACAAGCACGCAAGATTCTCATTCAATTGACAGGAAGAAAACTTTCACTGGTTAACGCTATCATGTTCAGATAAAAGTCAACGTTCTAAGCGACCGTTGTCAGTCAATTTTTCAGCGGTGTACCGAGATAGGTCATCAAAGACAACAACATTAGTGTTGACACTGATGCTTCACCGTCGTACAACCAGGTTTATCTAATTATATTGTCTTAAAATGAAAATAAAATAAGAAAGCGGGTGAGAGAGAGGACCCGGTGCTGGCCTAACGCAAGCAATTTGGAGAGAAACTGATGGCACGAAAGTCATTGACTTCGAGTAGCCGCCATTTCTTGCAACGTCTCCAGCCAAGCGCACGGCAGTCACGGGGGTACCCATCATGAAAATAAACCGCACCAACATCCAAACGCTTCGTAATCTCTCGCATCCTTCTACCATTGCGCGGTTTGCGCCATTCTGAAGGAGGCACGGAGAACCATACCCGTCTCGGTAGACGGCGTTTCGGCATGCGTAACACATGACTGATCCATTGTAGTCGCTGGTGCTGGGTGTTTTTTCCGATTGAGGTAACTGCAGCACAACTCGTTACTAATACACTAACGCCATCCAGAACCAGCCACGCTTCCGAGACATCGGTGGTCGAAAACCTGAAGAAGCTTCACATCATCTGTCCGCAGATGCTGTCTCGCACCCATACAACAACAGTCCTTACCGTAGCCTGGTACACACGACCCTCAAGATCTAGTGATATGCCTTTTTGACTCCACAAGTGACGCATATTACCATACGCGATTCGAGCCTTTGAGATTCTTGCACTGACTTCATCAGACACACTTCCGTCAGAGCTGATACAACTACCGAGGTATGTAAAAATTTCCACAATCTCCAGTGGTTCTCCTTGAATTATAAGGGATACGTTCGCAGATGGCACGTTCTGAAGCAGGACTTTGCACTTTGAAGGTGTAAGGCGCATGACGAAAGATGGTATGATGGTGGTCGGCCTACTCAACAGGGGTTGTGCTCCAGCTTGGTCTTCAAAGATGAGGGCGATGTCATCTGCGTACTCCAGATCGACAAGGCTCTCACCAGCAATAATTTGAACACTAGTGTTTTGAAGACCGTCCAGCATTCGCCTCATTATTTTATCAAGAATGGAGAGAGTGGATGTCTTTGTCTGACACCACGTTTTGTAGGGAAGATTTTGGAGCTCAATATATACTCACCCGCCCAGAAGTATGTGAATACGGGGATCGGATTGTGCTCGCAATCTTCTGGGGCATACCCTGTTGAGCAAGTGTAGTTAACAGCACTGATTGGTCGACAGAATCGAACGCATCCTTGAAGTCAAGGAATAGCAAGATTGTGGGTCATCTGTACACGTGGCGTTACTCTAACACCTGACGAAGTGTGAAGATGTGGTCAAGGGAGCCTCTACCCGGTCGAAATTCCGCTTGATTCTCAGAAGGTTTCGCGTGCCACCAGAAGCCTTGTCACAAAAGATGTCAAACTAATACCTCTGTGTTTACTACACTCTCTGCGATTACCCTTTCTGTAAATGGGCACTACTATCGATCAACCCCAGTTGTCTGGGATGGTCCCTTCCTCCCAGATAGACCCAAATAGGCTAGACAGGCACTGGCTGAGAAGTCCACCTCCATCCTAGAAAAGAGCAGGTGGATGGTCGTCAGGACCAGCAGCACGATGACATTTGAGTAGGGAAATACAACCGGACACTTCTGAGGCTAAAGGCTGCCACATATTCACGGTCCATCTTTCTGTTGAAAGACAGGATTCAGGATTGGAGATAGCCAGCTCAATTGCTGCCCAGCGATACAAACGTTCTGCTTTGCTGCATATCAGGGAGCCAATTTGGTCCTTGATAATTTTGCTGACAAGAGGTTTCCGAGGACCAGCCGAACGAATCAAGTAGAAC